TACTAAATATTAAAAATAATTAATATTCTGGCAGGTATCATAAGCATATTGTGGAGAAAATACTAAAATGTTTTAGATTAATTTAATCACAATTAGTTATCAAGTTTCTATTATGACCGGTCATTGACTTTTCTGTTTGACCGCTGGTTTTACGAAACTCAGTTAATGGGCTCTTGGGATGCCTCGATGGTAAGCTAACACTGTTGTAATATGAAACTTATTTATTAAACCTTCTCGCTATTATTATAATTGAACGCGGCGTATGTGTATTTGATGTTTATGCGTGTTATTTGTACTAATTACTTGGTTAAAACTACAAGTAATGAAATTATACGTAGACTTTGATAATAATTAATGATCGTGTAAGCTGTAAACAAATACTTTTGTAACAAAGGTTTGTTTTAATAGCTGAATGAGAAAATTAAGGACAAAATAGTAATGAAGGTGCTGCACAAAAGAAAAGGCTTTGTTTTGTCTCAGCCAAAATAACTTCAATTATTAATTATTCTTAACGTAAATGCATTAAACGTAAAACCAATTTAGCGTAGGCAAAACAAAACCTTAGTAAGGATAAAAGTCAATTAAAACATTGTTTCTTTTAATACATAATATATATCTAATTCAAGCCAAAATTCAACGTCGATTTCCATACCTTTTTCTAATTGAATTAAGAACGAATTTCAATAAATGGAAAGAAAGAAAGAAAAAAGATTTGGCAATTACAATTTTGATGAAAAACATTTCTAAATCCATCAAATAAAATCACATAATAATCGCATTTATATAAACTGAAAAACATCTGTAGCCAATCCTTATAGTCCCAGACAAAGCTGCGGTTCCAGTAGTAGGGATTTAATCCCTCGGTTTGTTAGGAGCATCGTTAAACCAGATTTATTATCCAGGTGAAGTATTAGTGGCTGGCAGACGCAGCCAAGGATTTTAAGGAATAAGTTCAAGTGAACTTGTTACGAGTGGTACAGAAAAATCCCTAACTTTTTACAGAAGAAACGAGTCGAAAAAATATGATTTAATGTAAGCTAGTTACGTTTTGTTGGGGTGGGTACCATGCTTTTTTTAAAGCACAGATCTGTCACGATTATATAGAAAGTTTTTATAATAAGTAGTCTGCTCGCGCTTCACAGGCGTGAAGTTATATATGTAGTCTGCTCATGAGGAAGAGCCCTTTGTGGCTCGAAACTGCTTCTATGTAGTTACGAGCTTTACAGCTTTTCGCTGTATATATATTCACGTGAATAATCTGCATTGTTTTATTCCGAATATAGAGAAAACAGGTTAGGGACAACACTTTTGAAATGGTTTAAATCAATTAAATGTGAGGAATTGTCTTTGTAAGTAATCAAGTCTTAGTTTTTAGCGTCAAATAACATACCGTGTTTCAGTCAACTTTAGTTAGTTACCAATAGAAGAGCATTGATTCTTATTCCAGTTTTTAATATCCATTTTCAGTTATGCTCACTGTATGGTTAATATGTTATTGTATTAACACAAAACAGAGTACCTAGATACGTGAACAATCCATAGGTTTGGTCATTGTTCCAAAAAAAAACATATAAAGCAAAGTCCATTAACCTATTTCAATTTAAAAATCAAACGATTGGCTAACAAAAAAATGTTTTCATTTTGTACAACAAAAATGAAACAAAAATACTGGAGCAATTTTTGCAAGCAAACAGTAAGCAATTGAAAATAGAAACGCTATGTTTACGAGTGAAAAAAATGAAGAATACAGTTCAGAGAAGGTTATTCATAATCTTCAGTAAATATTCAAAGATGAGTATAAAAAAAATCATGGCTCACTGAGTCACAATGGCCGTTCGAGGTCCTTTGTGAAATGTCAAGTAATCTTGTAGCTTTTATTTTATCTGTACTTACTTTTGAATTTTATTCGAATGAGTGGAATTATTGCGACCTCTTTTACAGTATCTGTAATGAGTTATTTTGTTTCGAGAGTGGACAAATTAATTGTTTTTCAAATACTTAATTTAGAGGTAGAGACTACTTTTGTAAGAAAAAGGTTACTGGATGCGAATAAGTTAAATAGTGTTCTATGCAACGTGATTAGGTTATGAACTCTACGTAAGTTTTATTGTACAATTTCTTATTAACGCAAGAAAATAGTATTAGAATACAGATTTACGAGTGGGAGAGCCATGCTTCGGCACGAAACGGCCTGCTCGACCAGAATGATACAACTGCCTCACAGAAAACTGCCATGAAACAACGCTTGCGTTATGTTTCGTCGTGTGAGTTAGGTAACTGGAGGCCCAATTACCCCACATCTCCCCAATCACTGAATCCCCAACAACCCTCAAATTCCTAATCCTCAAAAGCCGATAAACACACTTGTCACGCCTCTGGTGTTCCGGGTGTCCATGCACAATGCCGATTACTTGATCCATCTGCACGTTTAGTGGATTAACCCACAAAAAAATACCGTGTTACAATCACATCATATTGGAAAATTTCTTACTCCATCAAGCTTCATTTGTTACTTTATAGAGCCAGCAGCTTGATTAAGTTCGAAAGATATTAGAGCTCACACTTAATAGACCAATGACACAGACTACATTTATTTAGCTTAAAATAAATGAAATAATTTGATTAAATCAACTGTGTGGGAGCATATTACCTATATTGTAAGAAGGAATGAGCACAAGGACTGTGCTACTCCTACGCTTTACTGCTCTTACGTCAAACGATTAGTGACAAGGGATAAATTGTTGGGTCATGGTTAAAAAGTATTTGCGTAGTTCCTTAAGATATATTTCACATTTCGTACGTAGAAATGCCACTAGTAGCAATATCTTGATTTAAGTGTGAACCCATAATCGACTGTTTTATTTTAATTAAGGGGGAAAATCATCGAATGACTGCTCCCGCCGGGGTGAGGCGGGAGGGACTGTCAGACTCTTACTGACTAAAAACCACCCCGTTCTAACTCCTGCACTTCGATCCGGAGCGCCAGTAACCCATTAGGTTCTCCACGGCATCCCTTAGTCGCCTTAGGATCGATTTTTCCAACGCCAGATAAATTTTAAATGAGGAATAGCTTTGAATATTTTTCATTTCTTTCATACTAAATCTGTCAATAATGTCAATTTTATTCTACAGGTAAGAATTAACTGATTATTGAAAAACCGGGACTTAACTTTGTAAATGCCTGATTATGAAAAATTTACAACAATTGTTCATACAAAAGTAGTCTCTAAACATTGGTGAAAAGGTCTATAATGGTGTAAGTGGAGACCGGTCACCGGTGACCGCTTGGATCTTAACCAAGCAGGTAATAAAGATTATCTTCTACTATATTGGTACTGACTAGAGATAACTAATGGTTATGAATTTTTGTCATTAATGTTTGTCTTTTAGGTAACTCTTTTAATATCTAATTGGAAAATGTTGAACCATTTTTATTTTAATCAAAAATGTACTTTACGTAATTGACTACAAATGTCAGAATCGTTAAAAGAAATAAAACGTGTACTTTTTATGATTTAATGAGGTATATAAAACTATTCTCAAAGCGAGTATCATAATATTTATGGGCTGTCTCAAATGCAAGCGTTGGACGTTTTTAATATCAGTCGGTATTGCATGCCAGAGTAATGTCTTATAAAATTATTATTGTACTCGTAAATTGTAAAGTGATACTTTATTAAAATATCCTTTGTGACGTACTCAGAAATTTCGCCGTGAATATTTTTATTTGCTTCTTTGCTGAATATTTTGAAAATTTATTGGTGTACTTATTACTGTTATTATGAGAATTGAAATAAATGTTATGTGAAATTGAATTTTATATTATTATAATATGTAATACTATTTTCGTGAATCTGTAATATTTTTAATGAATGAAATGTAGATTGAAACGGAAAATATTAAAGAATGTAGATTTATAGTGAATCGGCGACATGAGTATTCGACTTTTCATTTCATTAATTAATGTAATATCAGGCAAGGCATAGTGAAGATGTTGTAACTGCAATAGCTATAGCAAAATGAACTTATTGAGCAATTAACGAGAAAATGGTGGCAGGGTCCGAACTACCTATTGAAACAACATTGACACTTATTTAACAATATTAAAAATAAATTTAAACTCAGTTCACCAAACACTACTTCATCTATCCTAAGACTTAAATTCAATGTTCAGCTATGGTACCCATCTATCAACACCGTGAAATCTATATCGTTTTCGTCCCGAAGTAAAATGATTCTGTCTTAGTAACTTTTACAAAAAAAAAAAAAAAACAAAAACTAATTTGTGAATCATTGCAAAAAGCAAACTTCGAAAGCGCATATGAACTCACAGTACGTTATCAAAACACTACGCCATGTAATTTTCGAAGAGGGTTTTTGGCTCGTGCGATGCGAATAGTGTCTACAAATATACGTCTGACTGTATTTCCATGACTTTTTTTATTTCAACTAATAAAATGATTTGTTTTTTTTTTTACTTTAGACAGTGAAACTGCTCTTTAAGGCAAATTTTGTTGCTGTGGGACGAAAACGTAATAGAGTTCACGGTGTATATATCCTACCAACATATCAATAGAACACATATTATTCGAGGACCTTGGTCAACTATCCACGTGCCAGCAGTTGATTTATTTTCCACACAAAGACCGTGACTTTTGGACACGTCCCGTTGTCGACACTGATGCGGATGAACTTTTTGATGCGCCATTTTTTATTTCTCTTTGAGTGACGACGGGGCGCTGTTGCCATTCTATGAAAGACCAAAGCTATATTGATTGTACTTTTTTATAAAGAGAAGTATAAGTTTGTTTTTTGCTCGCAAAGAATAAAACTAACTTTTACAAAATTTTGGTGAGAAATTAACTCTGCATGATGGTTGATTATTCAAATTATTAGACTGAAATAACTATCTGAGGTTGCTCTTCAATATTTTATTATTTTAAAAGTAAAAAGATCTACTATATGTTCATACGGAGTTATCCGTCCGTAATAAAAATAATATTACATCGGACGGTTCACGCGGTGGCTGGGCAACCGGCTGCCGGGCAACGTGTAACGAGGTCGATTCCCGTACTTAGCAACACTTTGTGTGTTCTATCAATTATTGTTTCGGGTCTGGGTGTCATGTGTATGTGAACTTGTGTGTTTGTAAACGCATCTACGATACAGAAGAAAGTATTACTGTGGGGTAAAGTTTTATTTAAAAAAAATAGTCAGTAAAGTAAAATAATGATTACCTAGAATTTATTAATGTAGTAAAAAAGAAAGTTGCTAATTAAGCAACACCATTCAAAAATTCTCTCCTTTGAGTACAAAGCATTCGTGTGTAAGATCACAAATCAAGGTTTTATCGGGAGAGGCCGGTGCATGGAAGTGTGTATCATAAGAGCATCATCGATCCAGTGCCAGATGCGATTTACTGCTGTTAATGGTATAAATATACTGGAAGCGACACGGTTGAATTTACATTGAATAAAGTTAATATCGAATGAAAAACTTTTATTCTGTTACTAGGTTGTGTCAGCAGCTTCAACTAGAGTACCAGAACACAACTTAAATTAATGTTAAATTTATTAAATTCCCAAATAAACAGTAGAGGATTCAACGTTTTAGTACAGAATATTTTTTTATGGCATAAGCCGGTAAACGGGCAGACGGATCACTTGATTGTAAGCAATCGCCGTCGCCCATGGACACTCAAAACACCAGAGGCGTTATATGTGCGTTACTAGCCTTTTAGGGAATAGGAATTTGAGGACTATTGGTGATTCAGGGAATGTGGAGATGGGGGGTGGGTTGGGCCTCTGATAACCTTACTAATCCTACGAAACACAACGCAAGTTATACATTAAAAATTTACTAGAGTTCTATATAGAATGACCTTTTATTACATAAGATTTCATAACTGGTGAAAAGTGATTGTGACACTGTACATGGCGTGGACTCCTGCTTACCCTTTGGAAAACACAAAGACATGACTTGAACCCTTCATATTAAACCTAGTCAATTGTCAGTTCTAGTACCAATACTTTTCTATACACCGCATCTATTGCTGCCATTCAGGACTAGGATAAAAGATAACTACAGATCCGCATATTGGTCGTATACAGAGAGCGAATGATTTCAGTTTCATGCCTCATTTTATGGACAAGACTCGTAACTATATTTCATTTTATTCATAAACTGTATATTGAAATAGGATTCAGATAGTAACATGGTGGAGTTTATTATTGTATCGGGTTGATGTATGTGTGTATCTTATCTCTATACCTCTACATAGGTATTGGAGAAAAGCTAATATGAGGATAATTTTTGTCTTTTTTGTTATTTTTTTTACAGAAAACTGCCTCGTTGACCGTGTGGTCTCAAGTGCAACTACCGGATAAGGGGTCTCGGGTTTGATTCCCGGGTCGGCTAAAGTATTTTTAAATAAATCTCAGTAATAGCACGGAGTCTGGAATGGTGCCCGGTATATGGCAATAGGCTCACCGCCTATCACATGGGACTCATAACATAGATAGTGAAAAGTGAGTGTTAAATTGTACAGTGGCATTAAGTGCCGTCATGTCCGCCTCTGCCTACCCCTTTGAGGATAATTGGCGTGATGTTATGTTATGTTTTTTTACAGAACATGAGTTTCTCTCCTATTTCGGGGGGCGTTTACAAACTTACAAATTCACATACACATCACACCCAGACCCGGAACAACAATTTGTGGACTACACAAAAGAGTTGCTCCGTGCGGGAATCGCAGCCGGTACACGTTGCACGGCAGCCGGTTGCCCAGCCACCGCGCGAAACGTGCAGTCTATATTTATTATAGAGCAAAGTAGCAATTAAAATCCACGTTTTTTCTGTACAATATAGATATTGAGGCGTTGTCTCTCGGCATATGAGGCTAACTTGTAAATCTAATTATAGGCAATTTTCTTGTGGACGATGTCTCAGTAACAGCTAATTTAAGAAGCGATTATTAAATAGGTATTCTTGTGGCATTCTGAACTTTTTGAGCCACTATAGTTTTGGAAAAAACGAACATTCACAAGCTTATAATTATTGTAAGACGACGTTGAATCTAAGGCATACAAAATCTCACTTGTGATTGAAGCACCATAATGTCAGTGGTGTATTTATGTGTGCGTGTACTTGCAACACCGTAATGTATGAAGTGTATTGACGGGTCATCCTCCTTCGTGTCAACGTGTGTGTATTCGGCGTGTGAGTCTATAGTAGCCAGGTGCCACAGTCGTTGTTTCAAGAGACTACATCCACTTTGTTCCGATTATCATAACCTTCTTTTTATGTGGAGTACACGTATTTTGCTCGTACTTCTTTTTGTGTCAGACAGACTAGAGTAATATGTACAAATTGTTGCTCTTCTTGTTACAGCTAAAAATATTACAAATTCACACTCGTCTTAGAAACAGAAACACAATACCTCCACCTCAACACATACCTACACAGCGCTATTTTTATTCACGAAGCGTATTTACTAAACGTATTACCTCGCACCATAAATCTATATGACGCAACCACATTCAATAAGCTCAACGCTGAACAAACGTTCCTTGAACTCAGTTTAACTTTTAGAACCGGATAAGCCTACGTCGATAGGTAAACTTTACTGTTAAACATACTTTAGCATTAAACTAGAAGCCGACAGAATGAGTTGACTAGTTTCTGTATGCCTTAGAAGCCTTTGTTCGTATGTTTATTTAAAGAAACAGCAATTATGTTTCTTGTACATTGTTAATTTTTAATGTAACTAGCTTTCTACTGTTTGTGGATAGATTCTGCTTTTCCTGTGCTTAATTATTTGTTTTGAGGGGAAAAATCATCCATTGATTTCTTCCGCCCGGGTGAGGCGAGAGGGAGTGTAAAACTCTTACTGACTAAAAACCATCCTGTTCCTACTCCTGCAGTTCGAGCCGCAGCCCCAGTAACCCATTAAGTCCTTCGCGGCTTCTTCCTGTGCTCACTAGAATGTAGAAAAGTCTTCTATGAATGCTTCAAAATTGTCTTTCAAGGACTTTATATTATTTCAAATTGAACTCTTCGTGATTTCTGACGACATTTTTATCCCCGAAGGGGTAGGCAGAGGTGCACATTTCGGCACTTAATGCCACTATACAATGTAACACCCAATTTTCACTATTTATGTTATAAGTCCCTTGTAATAGGGGTGAGCCTATTGCCATATACCATATATATTCTGACGACAATTGTGTGTTAGTCGTTCAGTCTTTTCCCCCTAACACCAGCTGTAAATCCAGACTACGTGCTGCTACAAAGAGGTTGTCAAGTACAAAGCTTAATATTACTTTTCCTGACACTCAAAACCCACATTTTGAGACGAGCACTCAATATGGTAATACAAGAATCAGATTTTAAATGTCTAAAGGCAAAATGGTAGCGCATTACTGGCAAAACAAGAGATAATTGTATTACTTGCAAGTCGCATGATATAAGGTTATTCTATCGGAAAATCGACTTTATGCTGTGTTGGTAAGCGATCTCCAAATGTTTCCACACCGACACACAGTTTGTATATGATATATTCGACATATATTACGATGAAATTGAAGCTTTTTTACCGTATTTATGCGTCATAAATAAGCAATTTATGTTTATTCATGTTTCTGATTTTTTGGTTGGTTGAGCGTTATGTATATGTTTTAAAAATGTTAAAACATGGTATGTGCCACATATCTATCATATAAAAATGTTCTATTTCATCCTACTCGTGTCCGATTTTTGTGGTATCAAAATTTGGACTAGCGACTGCCTCGTTGGCCGAGTGGTACGACTACTGGGCAAGGGGTCTCGGGTTCGATTCCCGGGTCGGGCAAAGTATTACTGGTTTTTTAAAAACGTGATAGCACAAAGTGTGGGGGAGCCATGCTTCGGCATAAATGGGCCGGATCGACCGGAGTGATACCACGGCCTTACAGAAAAACGTTGTGAAGCAAAGCTTGCGTTGTGTTTCGTCTTGTGAGTGAGGTTACCGGAGGCCCAATTACCCTCCCCTTCCCCAATCTCCCCAATTCCTGAATCCCCAACGATCCTCAAATTCCTAATCCCCAAAAGGCCGGTAACGCACTTGTAACGCCTCTGGTGTTCCAAGTGTCCATTGGCGGCACCGATTGCTTACCATCAGGTGATCCGTCTGCTCATATACCGGATTATGCCATAAAAAAATACACGATATATAGCAGTAGGCTCGTCACGATATGTCGCGCATCCTACTGAAACTAGTAGAGCTCTATGGTTCGAAACTAGTAGAGCTTCAGTATATTCACGTGAGTAACCCGCGATTTTTAGTTAAGCCAAACTTAGCACTAAAAGTAATAAAATTGAGCCAAAAACTTCGTACAATGTCGTTTTCTAAACGATTGGTCGTATTGTCCCGGCGTCTAGGCATCCTAGTTTCTGTGTCCAAACGTGACCGGTCGAGGGTCATTAACAAGTTAGGGTTACTACCCACTACATTGTAACGTTTTATGTCGAAACTTTGGCGAACGGAACGTTTGCTCAACCCTACAATGAAAGCTGGAAAACGATGAATTTGAATTGAATTTAAATTTTTAGTTCTTTTTTATATTGCTTACTGTAATGACGAAGTTTGTGGGTTGTCTGATGATAATTGTGTATAATACAAAATGTTGATTATTCGTAATACGTTTACGTCAAAATGCTATCTAGATAATTTATAAATGATAAATATTTGATGAAGATGAGTATTTTTATACTTATAATAAATAATGTATGCCTAATGGGTATGCTTAGGTTACTATAAAAATAAATGTAAGACCCATTGTATCATCAAAAAAGACACTAATAAATGACTGACTTTGACTTTGACTTTAACTTTGATAATGTTACCATAGTTTTTTTTAATTCCTCAATATGTTTAGTACACTAAAGATGTATACAAAATGTGAACGACCACAGAAAATAAATGGTCGTAATTATAACAAGTTATTGTGATATGAAAAATATTGGTTCATGCTAATTTGTTAGAAAGGTCTATACTATGCTGCGATGTTTCGATAATTTAATA